GTGCTTTGAGTGTCGTAGATTAAGAAAACACGTATGACAAGAAGCGACTATGGATCATTAGCGTATTTAAGTAAATTTTTGTGTTCCACACAGTCGCATCAACACATAAGAGGAAAATGGTCAGACAGGTATGTGTGAGATATTTTAGGAGTTCTGTCGATCTCTAATGCTTATGGATTCGTGGGTCCTTGAAATAACTCCCTGTTCCCAGCTTCCCTTTGAGAGCCCACTGGCCTAGCTGTACCTGAGCACAGAACGCTTGTTAAACTGCGCATGCCGGACTGGGCACCAGCAGGGCCCCGTTTGTGGATGGCCGATTTGGCAAGGATTTTCTGTGGAAAGCGACCTGTTGAGAAATGATGATGTGTTCCCACTCACCCCTGACGTATGCACATGCAGGGGAGGCCTGGCGGGGCTTTCTCGTCCGGAGGGCGGCCAGGCCTTTGTGTTCCTGAGGGCCGGGCCCTCCTTACCTCAGTGGATCAGTGACTAGCACTGCGTTTCAGTTTGCTTTCCTGTTTGCGTGGTCATGGCCCATTGAAGACATTGAGCGGCATTGTCTAGGAGAAAGAAATGAAACTTCTTTCAGGTTCAGGAACAACAGGCCAAGAGTGGGTGGTTCTGTGTGAGCCAAGTACCGAACCAGCACCTCGCCTCCTTCCTCTGGTTCCTTGCACAAAGGGCATGTGAGTCTACAGACTTCAGTTGTGCATATTTTCAAGAGCTGCTTGCCAGCAACCTCTCAAGTCAGTTTTTAAGGGTCACCACATTTGTTTTTCACAAACTAAAATTGGTCCACTGCCAGATTACCAAGAGCTCTGATTCAGCACTTTTCTAAGTCTAGCTGCCCAGGCTCCCAGGCCACGCCTCCCAGGGCCACACCTTCCCCGGCTGAGCCATAGAGCATCTCGTGGTCTGAGCAACTGATAGGAATTCCTGCTGTTCTCTGCTTTGTGGTCCCATATGAATTGTCCATACTGCTATTGCTAATACAGATACACCCATAACAACTATCACCTAAATGAAAGATTTGCTTCTCATTGAGTGATACATCATTGATGTCAGAGAGTTCTTTTACCTTGAAAAGCAGGAGAGGGTAGTTAGGCTTGGAATCTTTACTCTGCCTAAGTGGATTTGACAAAAGCAGTTTGTTTCAAGTAAAAGATGTCATTTTCTCAGTAAAGTGTAGTGACACAGGTGCATGCAACTGTCAAAACTCGTCAACTGTGCACTTATGAGCTACATCTTTTATTGAATGTACATTGTACCTCAATTTAAAAACAAACTAATAAAAACAAGTATAGGAAGCCAGCGAAAGAGAAGACCAGAGGCTCTTGAGAGTGATTTGTCTTCATGGGAAAAGAGGTGAGAACAGGGAGGAGGTCCCGCCAAGAATGCATCATGTCCACGTAATAACAAGGAAACATCAAACAAACCCCGAATGAGGAAAGTTCTGTTAACAAGAAGCGGGGACAGCATACTCCTAAAAAATGTCAGTGTCATAAAAAACAAAGAAAGGCTGTGGAAATGCTCCAGATTAAAGGAAGCTAAAGAGACAGGACAACTAAATGCAAGACCTCATTCGACTGGATCCTGTACTGGGGAGGGCAAGGATGCTCTAAAGGTCATTATGGATCAAATGACAATTTGCGTATAGACAATATACTAAAGTATTGTCCATGTAGATGGTGAAACTGATAGCTGTGCTATGGAATGTAAAACAATATCCCTCTTCTTAGGAAACACATCCTGAAGTATTTAGGGGTAAAGGGCCATTTTGTATGTAACTCACCCTGAAATGGTTCAGAAAATAAAATTATGTATGTATGTGTGACACGAAAATATGTATGTGTGTGCAAAAGAATTTCCTTATTGCTTACCTTGGGGAAAAAAAAGAAAACAATTACAGGTTTGGTTCTCGTTTAGGTCTTATGGACAAGGCCGGTTCAAGGTTTGGCTTGTGTTTTTCCAACGTTGGCACCTGCAAATGAGGATTTTATCAGATACTGTTCTCCTGTCAGTAACCCTGAAGCCACATCATACCCACAGCTGATTCATGAAAACCTTGACTCTGGGTCAGGTCACTGCTGCTTGGAGATGAACATGGCCCGGGCAGAGTTTATGCACTGGGACAGTGGCATCTCTTCAGTTTAATTGCATGCACATGTTTGAGTGAGAAGTGGGGGGGGGGGAGAGAGCACACAAACCATAAAACTGATGAGGTAAAATGTTAACAATAGATGCATCTGGGTAAAGAGTAGATAAGGATGTTCTTTGTGCAATTTTTCTTTTTTTGCACTTTTTTTACAACTTTGAAATTACTTCCAAAGAAGAGTTTGTTTTTAAATATTGGGGGTGAGGGAGCTGGAAGGAGTTTTTCAGAGTATCAACTTGTGTCAAGAAGGTACTAGCAACCCGATCAGATACGTGTGTATTCCAGATGATGGTAGTTACCATGACAATTATATTGCTTTAGTAGTTATAAATGGATCAGTCTCAAGCAATAAAAGCTAGATTGCTTATGTTACAAACCTGAGAGAATGTGAGAGAATTTCCTTATTGCTCACTCTGGAAAGAAAAGGAAAAAAGTACAGGTTTTTTGTTGATAAGGCCAGTTGGAGGTTGGGCAAGTATTTTTTTCAACATCTGTACCTCCAAATAAGCAGAATGTTATCAGGACATTCTCCTTCAATCAGTAACTTCTAAAAGCCACATCATACCCATCGTTGATTCATGAAAAACCTTGACTCCTGGGTTAGATCAGTGGATATGAGCATGGCCCAGGCAGAGTTTATATGTTGGGACAATTACATCTATTTTGTCTAATGCCACAATTTCCCAAGATGATACCCACAGTATCATAGTGGATTTGGGAGAGGAAGGGGTGTCCAGTGACCTCTCAGTGGGCTTTCAAAGACCATAGTGTCTGATCTTACTCTGAGCTCAGAGGACCCTGTCCCCCCAAAGTGGCCACCACCCCTGCTCACTTCCTGTGGGATCCGCTGTAGATGTGAATGGGACTCAGCCTCCTGCCTGTGTCCTAACGTGCATGGCAGTGGTTACTCTCTTCTCTCCATACAAAAAGAAAATATAGGACTAGTTTGTTCAAGCACACTTACCAGGCCAATAGAAACCGCCCCCTCGACCTCACCTGCTTCCGGGATGTGTGAAAGGACAGGTTGTACTTTACATCCAAATCTCCCGTTTGGACTATGGAGTCATGAAGCTGAATGTTTTGTCCTAACCTTTCATCAGATAAAGATGGGACTATTTGGGGGACTTGGAAGTTCAACTGTATAATGAAAGTGATCTGCCTCTTTGCCAGCATGTGCAAAATCAAATTGAGATGCTGCCTATAGGAAATTAAACCAGGTGGCAAAATAGGTGTGTGGTTACAGGCAAACTTCATTCTATTTCTTTCCTGGTCATGTCATGTTTGTTCCTCAAGAAGGGAAAATTGAGAGTAAGAGTTGCTTTATCTGAACTGACTGGGAGGTCTCTCTGGCCATGAGTCAAAGCTGTGTTAATGGGTCCATAGCAGATGAGATGAGCATCAGAGAGGGAGAGGGGGGAGCCCGGTGGAAGGATTGTGTGGGAGTGACAGTCACCACTTGCTGGCTACTTATAGTCCTAGAAGAAGCTATAGACATAACAACCACGATCTGCCTTCAGAGACCCTGGAGGTCAGACAAGGAGACAGTAGCCCTGTGCCCCTGGACTTTGAGGGACCAGTGGCACCAGTGCTGCACTACCGCTGTTTTAGGGCACAGCCTGGCCAGGGCTGGAGTGAGTCAGTGAGAACATGTGCAGCTCTCCAGCCAGTGCGTCCTGCACCCGACTCACCCCAGCCACCTCGGTCTCAGTAATAATCAATTGATAGCTTCTTGCACCTACACTGTACCCAGCATCCTCCTGAGCACTTTATACTATTACCTTATTTATCCTCACAGTAGACTGTTCTCCTTTTTATTCAAAAAAAATATTTTCCATCTTTATTGAGACATAATTGACATATAATACTGTGTAAATTTAAGGTGTACAAGGTGATGATTGGATATACATGTCTATTGTGAAATGATTACCACGATAAGGTCAGTTAACACATCCATCACCTCACAGTTACCATTTTGTGTGTGTGTGTGTGGTGAGAACTTTTAAGATCTACTCTCTTAGCAACTCGCAAGTACACAGTACAGTGTTAGCCTGTCCTCTTTTTTTTTTTTTTTTTAAAGATTTTATTTATTCAGTTTTTTCCCCCCAAAGCCCCAGTAGATAGTTGTACGTCATAGGTTCACATCCTTCTAGTTGCTGTACGTGGGACTCGGCCTCGCGTTGGACGGAGAAGTGGTGCCTCGGGGCGCTCCCGGGATCCGAACCCGGGCCGCCAGCATCAGAGCGCGCGCACTTAACCACTAAGCCACGGGGCCGGCCCAGCCTGTCCTCTTTTTAAAGACAAGGAAACAAAGGCTGAAGAAGATAGCCTGGCAAGGTGAAAAGGTTTGTAAGTGGTGGAGCCAGGATTTGGAACCAGGACAGTCTGGGTCTCAATCTCGTATACTTTTTTTACCATACCATGCACAAGTAGACACACACACACACACACACACACACACACACATATAGTGTGTTGGATTTTCCAGCCTCTGCATCAAGAAAGAGCTTGGTATGGCCTGTCATACTTGACCCTAGGCATTCTGCAGTCACATCTGCTTAGAAAGACATGGTGACGGTTGGCCAGAAACCTCCGGGTGTTCTAAGGCAACTGATACTTTCTCACTTGGCCGGGACTGTCTCCAATCTGGCTGCACATGTTGGCAGGGTCTCCCTGTTGGGATGTCAGAATCCCGGTTTGAGCTGCCAAGAAGGTCAGAAGGTTTGGTAAAAACTGATGGACCACGTGAGTGGGAACTGTCAGTGGGCCAGGCTGGCTCCAGTGCCAGAGAATGGCCAGTCTCTTGCCCTCTGGGTCACTTGCTGTCTTCTCCCCCTTGTCTTTGCAGAGAACCTCAGTTTGAAGCCCAGGGCGGTGGCTCTTGGAGAGCAGCAAGCCTACCAGGGGCCCGTGCATTGCATCACAACCATTGTGCGGACGGAGGGCCTGACAGGGCTGTACCGGGGCGCCAGTGCCATGCTGCTGAGGGACGTCCCGGGCTACTGCCTCTACTTCATCCCCTATGTGTTCCTGAGTGAGTGGATCACACCCGAGGCCTGTGCAGGCCCCAGCACCTGCGCCGTGTGGCTGGCCGGTGGCATGGCTGGTAAGGGCAGCAGCGCTGATCCCGGTCCCTATACTGGCCACTGCAGTGTTTAGCTGGAGAGCCTACCTTTCCCTTCTCAGCCGCAGGGAAGGGCATATTCATCCAGCCACTCATCCAGCTGTTCTTTGTTAAGTACCTACTATGTGACCTAGCCAGGCAGAGGACAGGCTAGGAATGGAGAATGGTCCCCCCTCTTTCTCCCATCCCCTTCCCTCTGGACCTAAAGGGATGGCAAGTCCCTATTTGGGCTCATTCAACTTTCAGTCACAGATAGATTTTGAGCCCTTACTCTCTCAGGCATTACTAAGTTTTAGAAAGGAAATCTGTTATCATGGTTCACCTTTTTTGAATATCAGCACCCTGCAAACCTTTCTAATGTGAAGATTTCATTAGCTCCATAAGGTAGGAATCAGTCTCCCCATTTTTCAGATGAGAAAACTCAGGTTCAGAGAGGTTAAGTAACCAACCCAAGCTCACACAGCTAGTGCAGACTGTATAGCAGAGACTCTGCAGTCGGAAAGATCCAAGTTCAAATCCACACTTACTCATTTCGTGACCATGGACTAGTTACTTAATTCCCTCCTCAGAACCCTGTACTGCATATGGTACTGCATTTCATTTAGGGTAAAAGTCAACATCCTTGTAGGGGCCGGCCCGGTGGCACAAGCCGTTAAGTGCGCGCGCTCCGCTGTGGCGGCCCGGGGTTCGCCGGTTCAGATCCCAGGCGCGCACCGACGCACCGCTTGGCAAGCCATGCTGTGGTGGCGTCCCATGTAAAGTGGAGGAAGATGGGCATGGATGTTAGCATGGGGCCAGTCTTCCTCAGCAAAAAAAGAGGAGGTGGCAGATGTTAGCACAGGGGTGATCTTCCTCACACACACACAAAAAAAAGTCAACGTCCTTGCAATGGTTTTCAAGGCTCTCTATGATCTGGCGGCCTGTTACCCCTCTGCCCTCATTTTCTGCTCCCGTCCCCTTATTCACTCTGCTCCAGCCAGGCTAGTCTCTTTGCTGGAACTTGACGGTGCCTGGCTCTCTCCCACTGCAAGGCTTTGTGCTCGCTGTTCCTGCCGCTTGGATTTAGCAGTGTATAAGTCATGGGGGCGTTTGACAAAACTCATTTTGGTGGAGCGAAGGGTGTGAAAACTTGATTGAAGTGGGATCAAGAGAGAATGGGCTGAAAGAAATTGGAGAACCCAAGTATACCCAACACTTCTGAGGGATTTGGCTGTGCTGTAATGGGGAAAAGAGAAATGCAGCCGTGGCCAGAGGGGGATAGGAAAGTCAAGGGAGGATTGCTTGTTAAGAAGGCTGATAACATGACGTGTTTGATGCTGATGGGAAGGATCCACCGTAGAGAAGAAAATTGTCATTTCTCCTCCTCCTCCTCATCATCATAGTTAGCTATGCTCGAAACTCAGCAAACACATTACAAAGCCCACGTCTTAGCCACCAAACACCAGTGTTCTCCTTCCACTGCCCTGTGTCTGAGGCCTGGCCCCCACTGGCTCCGTAAGTGCTCAGTGAGTACATGTTGGCTGAGAGGACAAACAAGGCCCCATGTGCTCTCATTTCTGGCGCGAACAAGTGTGAGTGGCCTGGCACGCCAACTTCATTTTGTAATACCCTCACCTATGGGCTGAGGGACAGGGGAGTGTGCCAGGGCAGCAGCTGGACCAACTCCAGGGAGAGCAGACCGTTATCCTGGCAAGAGGCAGGAGGCAGGAGAGGTTCAGAGGGTTCCAGAGGGCCATGGGCAGGAGGCCGCAGAGGCTGGAGGCTGGGATGGGCAGAGGGCCTGGGGCAGGCTAAGGCCTCTTTGGGGAGCTTCTGGGCAGCAATTACAAAATCTTGGAAGCCAGCTGACTTGGACTTTGGCATCAGTTCGTTTTTCTCTCCCATCCAAGAATGTGCCAATTTTTGTGTTTACACAATAACCTGGCGTTGTTTTCCTAGTCCTTTAAAGTCACAAAAAGTGCTCAAGCCAGTGTACCTGAGCTTGTCTGACGAAGATGACCCAGTGGCACATGGTCCCAAGGCTTCTATTACACATATCTGGAAAAGACAAGAGATTTGTAAAAACCTGCCCCTGCTCTTCTCTGCACTCTCTAAGCTGTCCCTGCCTTGGCGAGCAGCCTATCTGCAAGTGTTTGTTTAGCTTCTCCGTGTTCAGAGCAAATCCTGCTCTGGGGAGCTACAAGCCTTCACCCTCAGGCCTCACCCTGGGATCTCTCCCCTGGTGCCCCGGAAAGGTGCTGCAAAGTACTGGTGGGGCCTGTTCCTGTTTCTCCAATAAAAGCTGCTGATCAGGTCTTCCACTTACGAAGCCCTGACTGTGGACCTGGCACCGTGCTAAATGCTTCACCTGCCTCAGTTTATTTGTCCTCACAGCAACCCCTTGAAGATAGGTCCTGCTGCCCCATTTTACAGCTGACAAACCCAAGGCCCACAGGAGGTGGGAGACGTCTGCAAAGTCCCACAGCAGGTGGCAAGGGAGGATCAGGAACAGCCTTCACGGGTCCTGACCCTGAGCTCTTTCCACTTCCCCCAGCAGCGTATTAAACCTCTGAATGGTGGAAGTCTGCAGGGAGCCAGGTCCCCTCCAGACCCCACCACCCTGCCCATGATACCTGTTTGTCTTTCTCTTTACAGGAGCAATTTCTTGGGGGACAGCGACTCCTATGGATGTCGTGAAAAGTCGACTCCAAGCTGACGGGGTTAATTTAAACAAATACAAAGGTGTCCTGGACTGTATCGCCCAGAGTTACCAGAAGGAAGGTCTTAAAGTAAGCCCCACCGCAGTCATGAGGGGTCAGTGTCAGTCATTGGAAGGCGGGTCAGACATTCTGGAGATTATAGAGAAGGGACTCGAGAAACTAAGGTGCTGGCGGTTACCATTTATCAAGCACTATGAGAGAGCCTTATCCCATCTAGTCCTTGCAGGCTGGTAGAGGAGGTGGGTGGGTGCCCCACCTGACAGAGGTTCAGAGAGGACTGGTAACCTACCTGAGGTCACACAGCTGGTGCATGGCAGAGCCAGGACCTGCACCCACATCTGTGTGTCACCAAAGCTTGCCTTCTCATCAAGATAGGCTGGAAGGTCCTTCCTCGCTCACTGTTCAGTGCCTCACCCTCACCCCTCCTCCAAATGGGAAGTCCCAGAGCCATCTCAGTCATCACATCTCACAGGTTCAATCTGTCCTCTGCTCTCCCACCCTGCACGAGTCCAGACCCCATCACCTCTGGTCTCAGCAATTGAGGCAACCTCCGACCTGGCCTTGTCCCTCCTCTCATCTTTTCTCCTCCCTTCACCTAAAGGGCTTGTTCTTAATCCAAGCCCCTTCCTGCCTCTAAACTCTCTGAGAATGAAGACTAGACTTCCACGTCTGGCATCCAAGGTTATAAACTAATTCATCCCTGTCTATCTTGCCTCCCGGGACACACCTAGCACCCTTCAGAGAAACTATCGTGCTTGCTCTTCCTCGAATGGGACCTTGGCTTTCTTGGCATGCCTCTTAGAGTCAGCAGACTTGAGTTTAAAGCCAGGCCTGGCTACTGTGAGCTGAGGGAATCCAGGCAAGTTGCTTCAACTCTCTGGGCCTTGATTTCTCCAAGGATAATCATCCCTACCGTGAATGAGAGGGACATCTGTAGATTAAGTTAAATTAGGTACATAAAAAGTGCTTAGCTTAATGTGTCACACATAGAGAACATTTAGAAAGAGTTAGCCATTTGTCATTGGCACTAGTATTAGTATTAGTTGTTTTATTGGCGCTAATGTTACTACTGAGCTCTGGACCTTTTCTCACATGGCTGCCTCATCCCAAGCCCTCCAATCTTTAGTAACTGCCCACTCCAGTGCATCCAAACTCATATTTTTTTCCTCCAATGGAGTGCTGGAACTTCTCCTCCAGAAGCTTGGACTTCCACAAAGGCTCTCTCATCTGTGGGTGAGTGTCCAGGTCAGCGTTCTGCAGGTGCATCTGGACCATGGTCAGGAGAGGCTGGAGCAAGTTCCACAGGCTACTGCAGGTTCCACTGCCAGTACTGAGTCTGTCTGCCTATTACCCAATGCACGGGTGGGAAAGACTCCCCTTGGGTCCCTCGGCATATGGTGCTGGATCCCACAACTCCCATAGAGGCACTTTTGTTCATGGATGGATGCCAAATTTTTGTTGTTGAGGTGGGGACAAAACAAGGGACATCTTGTGCTGCCATGATGCTGACATCACTCTCCCTATGTATTTATCTTTATTGAGATTTTTATTTCTTCATACAGCTTCAAGTTATTGTCTAGCGTCATCTCATTTCACCTTGCAGGACTCACTTCAGCATTTCTTGCAGGGAAGGTCTGGTGGTAATGAACTCCCTCAGCTTTTGTTTATCTGGGAATGTCTTGATTTCTCCCTCATTCTTGAAGGATAGTTTTTCTGGATATAGGATTCTTGGCTGACAGTTTTTCATTTAGCACTTTGAGTATATTGGCTCATTGCCTTCTGGCCTCTAAAGTTTTTGGTGAGTAATTTGCTGGTAATCTTATTGAGTATCCTTTGTATGTAATGAGTTGCTTCTCTCTTGCTGCTTTCAAGATTCTCTCTTTCTCTTTGTCTTTCAGAACTTTATTATAATGTGTCTTGGTGTGGGTCTCTTTGATTCATCTTCCGGGGAGTTTGTTGAGCTTATTTGATGTTTATATTCATGTCTTTCATCAAATTTGGGAAGTTTTTAGCCGTTATTACTTCAAATATTCTCCCTACCTCTTTCTCTCTCTCTTCTCCTTCTGATACTTCCACAATGTGTATTGGTCAGCTTGATAGTTTCCCACAGGTCCCTTGGGCTCTATTTATTTTTCTTCAATCTTTTTCCATTCTGTTTCTCAGACTCAATAATTTCCATTGTCCTATCTTCAAGTTTGTTGATTCTTTCTTCTGCCTGCTCAAATATGCCTTTGAATCCTTCTAGTGAATTTTTCATTTCAGTTATTGTACTTTTCAGCTCTAGAATTTGTTTGATTTCTTTCTGGGTTTTCTATTTCTTTATTGACATTTCCATTTTGTTCACATATCATTTTCTTGACTCTCTCCATATCTTCCTATGGTTCTTTGAGCATCTTTAAGACAGTTTTAAAGTCTTTGTCAAGTAGATCTGCTATCAGGTCTTTTCAGGAATAGTTTCTGTTGATTTATTTTTCTCTTTGAATGGACCATACTTTCCTGTTCCTTTGCACACCTTGTGATTTTTTATTGAAAAGTAGACATTTGAATTTAATAATGTGGTAACTCTGGAAATCAGTTTCTCTCCCTTCCCCAGGGTTTAGTATTTTTTGTTATTGTTTTTGTTTATTGTTTTTTTGAATTGTTGTAGGCTGTCTCTGTGCCAAGGATCAGCCTGAGGTGTAAACTTAAGGTTTTCTCAGGGTCTTTTCTAAGCCTGTACCTTCCCCTGAACATGTATGATCACTTTCTAATTTTCCCCAAATGTGTAGTTGCTTTTGAATGTCCTAGTCTTTAAATTCTGGCTCCCAAACTCTCTCTCTCTCTGGAAAAAGAGAAAAATGAAGGGGGCGGGGGAGTCAGCCCTTTAAATACCCTGGAAGTCACTTCAGCCAGACGGGGAGGGGCTTGCATCAGTGTGGGGATAAGAGACAACGATGGCTACACTCCTCTTGGCACTTCTGTGATCAGAAGCAGCAATCAGTGATCAGAACACAGATCTTCAATATTTGGAGGAGAGTCCTTATTACCTACCCTGGCTCCCATCAGCTGTGTGCAGGTTGCTCCAGGAGCATGTGCATAGCTGCCTGCCACAGGGCTTGGAGTAGGGAATGGGTAGCTGCTACTGTGCTAAGAGCTGAAATTGACTGAAATCAATCACAATTTACCATCCAAACTTTCCCCTGGAAGTTATAAGCCTTCAATAAATTCCAGAATTCTGAAATAGTTACACCAGACAGATTCCACCAGTGCAGTTGTTGTGTAGGTGAGGAGACAGATTCCTGGTGCTTCCTTCTCTGCCATCTTCCTAGAATCCACACCTCAGTTGTTTTTTGTATTTTTATTTTTTTAGCAGAAGTAGAGTTTGTGATTCAACCAATAAATACAGAGGGACACATAAGAGAAATTCTAACGGGATGCTCTGTTTTTATTTGAGATATTTTTGTCTGTCTCCCAAAATATTAATGTGTCCTAATTCTAAAAAGTCTGTAGAGGCAAAATATATTGCTGATATTATTTTCTGCCAAAATTATTGTGCTCTGTAAAAAACAAAGTCCTAGAAGGCAACTGAGGCCACATGCTCAATTTCTTAATCTTGATATCATTTGGTCCATAGTTTATACTTAGAGACAGGTTTTAAGTACAGATAGTGATATTCAGCTTGATTAGCCACCTCAATGACTGAGATTAATTTTTTAAGTTTTTTATTAGTTGATTAAAAAATCAATAGTATATGAACATAGGAAGCTTCTAAAGGTATAAGAGGATATACTGTCTAAATGTCCCTCCGGTGGTCCCCAGTCTACTCTCAAAGGCAATTACTGTTATGAGCTTCTTGTGATATGTTCCAAAAGTATTCATAGCCTATGCAGGCATATACATGTGTATATATTTATATATGTTTGTATATGTGTTTGCATAAATAGCGACATGAGAAAAGAAATCCCACACAGTCCTGGAAAGTTGGGTTGTCTCACAGATTCCCAGCAGCAGCAGGAGGAATGCTTTTCCCAGGGCCGAGGGATGGCTCCAGCCCCAGTCCGCTTGGGCACTGGCTCTATGGTGCGCCATTCCCAAATGGTTTTGCTCGGCTCTCTGAGGCACCTGAGGCCACTGTTCCCACTTTCCTATGGAAGAAGAACTCAGTGATAATAAAGAATTGGAAAGGAGTGAAATAATGATGATGGTGCCCAATTTTCATGGCCCTTCTGTAACTCTCTTAATGATTACCAGTAAAGCAGCCTTTATGATAGCAGGAATTAAAGTCCATGGACTTTCGGGGCGTTCCCAAGTCAGGGCAGAAGAAAGGCCTGTGGTTTTGGATCCATTCCCTGTCTTCTCTGAGGCTCGTCTTGGGCCATATGGGCTGTGGCTCGTACTTGGAGAGTTGTCATCTGAAAGAAGGGGGCTGGAGGAGTCACTTCATGTCCTTTAGCCCCACAAAGGTGGCTGTTGTGAAGGGGTTTGGGATGAGACTGGATGACTCTAAGGAGAGTGAGAGGACCATTTGCTTCCTCATGCATCAGGGTCAGTTGCCACTTGGAGGGTCTGGAGCCCTCCCTCCACTCTAAGAATCCTCCACTACCACAGCCACTGCCAGGACTCTCAGCTCAGAGATGGTTCCTTTTTCACAGAGAGGAGTTTGTTCATTCATTCATTCGTTCGCTCATCCATTGATTCGTTTCATAAGATGTACAGAGGGTCCTCTGGGCCAAGCACAGTGCAGGTGCTGGAGAGTCAGAGGTGAACCACGCACACAGCCCTGCTCTCACTGCCCTGACTGGCATCAATTATGGGCACACAGACAGGCTATGGTGATTGGAAGACGATGTGAGAAGTGCTGTGATGGCAGAGACAGTGCACAGAAGGCAATGGGCCAGAATCCAGCTTGGGGTGGCCAAGGGAGGACTGCCAGGGGGTGCAGCCAGGTCGGGGGAACATTCCAACAGAGAGGACCAGAAAAGGCCCAGTGGAGGGAGAGAGCGGCCCTGTAGAGGAATGACAGGCCCTTAGCCCACCCAGAGTGTCAGTGTCAGAGCCTCCCCAGAGAAAGGGCGGGTCCAGAGCATATGGGTCTTGGCAGGCCAGGGAAGGGTGTGGACTTGACCTGGGCAGTGGGGAGACATTGAAGCTTCATGAGAAAAGACTTGGTCTGGTGGTTTTGTGTTCTGCAAGCTCAGGGTAAAAGCCGGCAGGTCTGCACTGTGCCATCTTTGGGCCTCGCAGCAGAGCAGACCACGGCTGCTGCAGGGAGGTCATGTCTGTCTGTCCAAAGTGTCCCACAGCTCCTGCAGGGCCCAGTGCTGTGGGAAAGGAGGCTCACATTCCAAGTTGGGTCCTGCCTGGCTCGTCTTGCCTCGCAGAGCCAAGCCCAGGTCCACAGGGGAGCCTCTGTGGGCACCCAGCATGGAATTTTCCTCTCAGAGCCTGACCCAGTTCCTTGACATTATTCCGTCACTCTGAGTGAGCCTGTGGAATTCCAGAAGGGTTAGACATTAGCGAAGAGTGCAGTTGTTACCAGGATCTCACTTGCCCCCTGTCTGGATCACTTCTGGCTGAGTAACTTGCTCACCCCTGGGGATCCTGGTCCATCAGCTCCCTTCCGTGGGGCCAAGGCTTCCCCTCAATCTGCAGAGGCCCTTCTCTCCCCTTCTTGACCATGTTGCATCTCCCAGGTGGCCATGGAGTCCCAAGGTGCAGGCTCCGCTCCCAAAGGAAGGTCACCTGACGTCCTGGCCAATGACAGTGGCCTGTACCTACTGTGACTCCACAGTGCCTGATAACCAAGGACACTGGGGAAATGCAAAGGGCTGGATTTCTACTTTCCTAAAATTACAGTACCAGTTCTATTTTGTAAACTTAGTAAATTATACAGGAGTGAAATAACATGTTTATATCTTATGCCTGACAGTTCTCGGGTCATTTGCGCTTGGGTAGGGACTTGTATTTAGATGTGTTGTCTCTTCCCAGAGAAGACATTTATGGACAGTTCACCAAAGACTTTATCTGTTCTCGTCACGTTCTAGGTTATATTGTAACTATTCCTGAATGGGGCTTATCTCCGCTAGTAGTTTATAAACTTCCCAAGGTCTGGAACCACATCACGTTGATCAGTGTCTGCCCAGCACCCAGAAGGAAGATTCAGGGAGGAAGGGAAGCATCTTATCATATTCCCTAGGGGTGGAAGACAAATACAGGCTTCTTGTATTAAGGGCCAAGTTTAGCAGCTCATCAATACAGGCCACTACTCCCCAGCACTCACGCTAATGATTGAGGCTGAGTACCACTCTATATAAAGCGCTGACTGTGGATGATAAGGATGCTGACGTGGTATCAGCAGTTAATGAGTGCTTACACATGGCAGGCACTGAGTCACTGCTTTAAAAGCATCATCTTATTTATTCCCTCAACAACCGTATCAGGTCAATAGTATTATTACCCCCATTTTACAGTTGGGAAAATTGAGTTCCAGAGACTTTGCCACTTGCCCAAGAAACACAGCTACTAAATGGCAAAGCTGTGCCTCAACTCCATGTCTGCAGTCTTAAGCATGGCCTGAGTTGTCCCCGACTCTGCCCCTTTGGGGACATCTTGTGAAGCACCTGTCACAGTGGTTGGTCATGGCTAGGTGTTCTGTCCACCACTGCAAAGTGAGTGGAATGGAGAGCTCTCACTTCCAGATTCCCGAGAATTGTGAGTGTGTGTGTGTGTGTGCACATGTGTATACATGTGCCTGTGTGTATGTGTGTGTTCACAACAGAGCAGCAGTTAAGCAAGTGTACATGGTATTTGCAGGACTCAACCGTTTGCCCATAGTATTTAGTGCATATGTACCAGGGTCTGGGAGGAAAAGTGCCATCAGACATGACATGGGTCAGGGCAGGGGCATGGCTGGGGCATCCCGGGTGGTCTCCGTCTGCACAGGTCCTGGGGGCTCTATGGGGTCCAGCCTGGGAGGGGGGCCTGAGTGGGCAGCACCACCAGCCTTTTCTCTGTCCCTCAGTAGTGGCCCTGCAGAGGGTCCCCTGTGATAACGCCGCCTCCTGCCAAAGGTGTTTTTCAGAGGCATCACCGTGAACGCTGTGCGGGGCTTCCCCATGAGCGCGGCCATGTTCCTTGGGTATGAGCTCTCGCTGCAGGCCATCCGCGGGGACCACGCGGTGACCAGCCCCTGAGCGCCAGGTCAGTGTGCTTCCTTCCCAGCCAGTTGTGCCCTGCCAGAGCTTGAAAGTCTTCTCTGCCATGAAAATGTCATGGCCCTCTGAGATGTCCCTCCGTCATTTGTTTCCTGTCTACTCTGGGCTAATTCTTGGCCTAGAATTGCCACCCTTCTTGTCATCAGAAAGCTCTTCTGAAATGTCCACCTGTGACTGATGGTGGACTCGCTGCTCAGTAACTGACATCCGCACAGAATATACCTGTTTATGGCGAGCTCACCTATCTGTTTTCCCAGCTTCCGTAGCACTTGGAGAGAAGTGCATTTAGCTTTACTGTACAAATTCGATACCCCAGGTTCAGGAGTGAGGACTCGACCCAGGGTGCCCACCCCCATCACATGGGCACCATCTCCCCACCTCCCTACTGAACTCATAGCCTGAGTCTGAGAGCCACCAAAGGGCTCCCAAAGCCATAGACGACAGTCTGTGCCCCCATTCCTGCCTCCTGTACCCTCTCCTTTTCTCATTGCAGAAGGATCACAGCAGCCTGAGGGATCTAAAGATAGAAAGCTGAGCAAGTGACTCGCTTGCTCAAATGCCCCCAATGGCTCCCCATTGCCCTCTAGATAAAGCATCAGTCCTTAACAGCCTCATCTTCACCACCATCCTAAACGTGCCATTCTCACTCTCATCTCTGGGTCATTCACATGCTGTCCCTGCCTAACATCCTTTTCTCACACCTTCCCCCTTGTCATTGTCTTCATCAACTCCCCTTTGTCATCCAGGCCTTGGTCTAAAGTCTCCTCCTCCAGGTAGCCTGCCCCGATGCCTCAGCCAGGAGGAGTTGCACCTGCTGTAGGCTCCCTCCCACAGCCCCTGCTCAGCCCCTGCCACATCCCCCTGCATCATAACTGCCTGACGACTTTCCTCACTCCCCAGCCAGCATGTGAGTCCCAGAAGAGCTGTGACTATTTTTCACGTCTGTATCGCTGGTGCCTCGCACAGAGCCTGGCACACAAATGACCACTCAGAAACATCATTGAGTGGATGGATGACCAACCCCCAATACCCCTCAGTCCCTCTTCCTCTTTTCCTCCCTTGTTTCTCCTTCTCTGGCCCCAAACTGGTTACCAACAGAACTCAGAGGACAAAGTGGGGCGAGTCACTGAATTTTCTAGTCAATTAAGAAAACATTTTGCCTCTGCCTTTGAGACTGCAAATTCTCTCAAGAAGGATGGTCTTCGTCAGGAAAGTCAGCAAACATCCCTGCTGCCTCCCCAGGGCAGCAGAGCTTGGCTAGGAGGCATGAATGTGGTCAGACCCGAGACCCAGGGAGAGGGCATGATGGATCAGGCTGATGAGTGGGCCCCGGACAAGCCTGAGACCCTGGCTTTAAGTAAAATGCTTTAAGCTTTTTAGTAAGGCACTCACATTCACAGCTTTCCTGGCTTTTTGCCCTCTCTTATAAAAGGAAAAGGGTAGCAACGCATTTTGCATAATTAAACATCTTGGGTGAAGAGGTACTGTATTTGGGTTACATCCAGGGCAGGGAGGAGAAGTTGTCTGGTTCTTTAAGCTGCTCTCAGATATCAGCCACTCCCCACTTTGAACAGATGAAAGTGACTTTTAAAAAAAAAATCCTATAATAAAATCAATGCATTTTTATTGTAGAAAAAGTAGAAAATACAAATAAGCAGAGAGAACAAAATAAAAATGCTTATAATCCCAATTCCTTGTTATTATTCTTCCAGGTGTTTTTATGTGTATCCCCAAAATGGGATCCTAATTTACACAGTGTTTTATAATCTGCTCTTCCTAATTCAATAGTTCAGGACCATTTTTCCACGTCATTAAATCTTTAGCTACAAGGTGGTTTTATTGCCAAGACCTGGCAGATCCCAGAGTGGCTGGACGCTTGCCTGAGCTGTCTCACCCTGCCACTTGTGACCACCCTGGTGATTGGCTACTTCAGGAGGAAGAAATTTCTAGCAAGTCAAATCCTGGTTGTCCTGGATTTGGCCTTTCAGAGAAGTGACCACCCCAACTGGAAGCTTTTCTTTCTGAAAATACGAGGGACCCAGATGTCTGTCTGCCTGTCCTCTGATGGGGTGGGAGAGGAGGCTAGTGCCTCCCAGGTGGGAGGGGTGGGGGTTCCCAGAGAATTTTCTGGAGCCTCATCTTGAACAAGCCTCACTCAAGGCATTCAACTTCCTTCTCTAACTGAAGAGCACCAAAGCCCTTTAACAAGTCCTGGATTTGAGTTTACCGAGTAGCTCTGAGATCTTGGGCAGGTCATGCTCTAGGCAGCAGTAATATCCACCCTTTAAAGACATGAAAAGCAATGCCTCCCTCCTGGTCTAGGCTGAGGACAGAGTGAGGTGATATGTTTTGGAGAACTAGGCAGCCCTACAGTTCCTATGAAGAGGTGGGATGGTGGCTAGCTTGAGCCCCGGTGCAGGTGGTGGGAATGGCGTGGAGTTGTCTCCAGGTGCCTGCAGGGAATAGAGTCCAACTCCATGCAGCTCCAGCCTCCTCCCACCAACCGGATATAGAGCTCTCCTCCAGCTCCCACGAGGTCCCACGAAGGAAAAACATTCTTTTTTCATTCATCCAACTCAGTTATTTATCTCCCAGGTCACACATATGAGTGAGCCAAGGACCATCTGAGACCCAGTGAACAGTGCATGAGGTTGTTGTTTCGTGATGTGGTTAGCTTTACCTGTCCACGTGGAGAAACCAGAATCAGACCAAATGAGGAAGATGACCTGTGGTGGTAGAAGTGGGGTCCCAACCACTGGTCAGTGGTCAGCTCTTAGGCTTGTCTGAGGCCCGTGAATCCAACTGCACCATCCCTACCCACTCACGAGGATTCCCTGCCCCCAGAACTTTCCAGGAATAATGCTGGTCTGGTCTCTGCTGTGACATTCAAACCTCACTGGCCTACTTTCAACTTCAGGAAAATTTCTTTTCAAGGAAAGAAGATACATTCTTCCTATAATATCTTTTTTTGAACATTTCCAAATAACCCCAGACAACCTCATAGCCTTTCACCAGTCTCATGGTGATGCTTTGCCAATTGTTGCTTCACAAAAATGGTCTCCAAATAGGTTGTTTGACCCCTAGATCTTGCTGACTGATCACCCCAGTTAGATGACAGTCTTATCTTTCCTCTTTTTTCCCCAGGGCCATTGTCACCTGACCAGGTCTGGTGCCACCTGACCAGGGCTTTGTGCCACTACTGACAGCAGCATCTCCAGGTCCCGGGTAGTGAATTTACTGAAGAGAGAGAAGGCCTCCCTGTCGCCCCGGCTCTGTGCCAGGTGCGCCCTCAGCCATCTGCACTGACTTCCGAATCCCTTCTTTCCCAACTGCAAGCACTTTGTCTCTTACTCCCGGCTGGGGCCACTGAGCTGCTGCCTCGGAGGGACCATCAATCGGTCACCATCTGTTTCAGGTCCACACTGGCACCTGGTGAACAGCAGGGTAAAGTAGACCCTGCCCCCATGGCTGCTGTAAACTCCTGGGAATTCACGGGTGACCTGGAGTTGTCTCTAAGTTTCCAAATAAAAACACTGAAAACCTCTCCAGGTGGTTTCTGTATCAGCTGCTTCTGCCTGGCCTCCAAGAGGCTGGCCACCCTCCTTCTTCACTCTGTTTAGACCCTTTAGATCGTTGGCCCAGCCCACTCCACGCAGGTGAGGCAAGGAACTAAGGACGGCAGGCAGCCTCACTTCTTTTTTCCCAGCTGCCTAAGGTGGACGGGGGGCAGGCAGTGGTTGAAAGAGCTCTGGAGGGAGAGGGAGCCTGTAGGAGCTCGCCCGGCCTGAGCAGCAGCACGGGCTGATGAAGCGCTTCAGAGGGGCAACACTGAGTGTGGGTGGGGTGGGCGTTCTCTGGGCCTTATTTTCACACAGAGAACAAAACAAAACAAAACAAGTTACTTTGTCCACAGTCTGGTTTCCAGAATGATTTCATTATTCTAAATTTTATTTCTCACTAGAACCATGTGGGGAGGCCGTTGCTCTTTTGCTGTTATGTGGCCTGTGTCCGTGAGGTCACTCCCACTTCTGTGCCTACACCAGGCATCCCTGAGCAGTCAGAGCCCTTTCCTGATGAGCTGATGCAGCTTCAGAATCCATCTCAGCACAGTGCACTGGGCAGCCACCACCAGCCAGTCAGAATTGGCATACAGATGAATCTATTCGCTATTCCTGGCTTAAATCCAGTGGGGAAAATACCCTTACATTCCTTTTTTTTTCCCCTTTGAAAGGGTCTTCCTTGATTTCCCCATTCCCTCCCCCTTGCTGATTTGGAGCATGTCTCTGAAAATCCCCTATCCAAACAGACCCAACACCAGGACAAAGCATCGCTCTGGCACAAAGAAGTGGAAAGCCTTCGGTCTCATGGGCTTATCCTGTTACCGTAGCAAAGGGCTCCCTCCTTAAAATAGAACTCTCAGTATGCCCACCTGATGTTTCTCCTTCACTGCCTCGGACACTGTGGGGTCCCCGGGGCAGCTCTACAGGCTGCAGTCTGAACTCCACATCCCGCCGGCAGTGAGGCATTCCTTCAGACTTCACACACTTTTGAGCATTTATTATGTGCAGACACTGTCCTCGGTGTTGGGGACAGCCTCGCGGGGCTCCTGGAGACGGTTCTGTTGACAGGAGAGACAGGTCTGCATGCCCACCCAGCATCGCTGGGCCTGGGCAGGGACTGCAGATACTGAGGAAGAGATGTTCCCTGGCATCTAGTGCATTCCCGGGTGAACCTGAGGTCTTTTCTGTAACACATCCTAGAACGTGTTCTTAAGTCTGCCTCAACTAGACCCTGTCCTGGCGCTGGTCCTGGTTGCCCAGTTTGTTGGGAAGTCGTGTTGTATTCACATGACCAGCTGAGGTCTTCTGCTGGATGCTCCTGATGAGGCTGAGATGCAACAACAACCTTCTTCAGGTGTCAGAACCCCTCCCAGGTTCTCTTGATCATCTTGGCTCCTCTCCATGATAGAAAGAGGTAAGCTGAAATTGAAATAGGTTGGCAGTATATTAAGCGCAAAAATGAAGGGGCAGAATAAAATGTGTGATGTTATTCATTACTATATATATTATATATGTATATTTTATATATGCATAATTATATAGGTATTGAAAAGTATCTGGAATGATACACACCAAACTTAATAGTGGCTATTTTGGGGATGTGGGATTGGGGGAAAGCTTTCAATTTTTACTTTGGTGATGTTAATTTCTTCATACACCATGATAGTCTTTCAATTTTTTACAGTGACCATATATTGCTTTTATAATTTTTTAAAATAAACACACATCTTTTTGCAGAGCCAGGTTCCGTGCTGGGCACTTGCTTTTCAGGCTCCCGCTGGCCCTGCTGTGCTGGCCAACCTCAACCAGACTCTAAGTAACAGCCTTTCCTCTGCCAGCCCCGCCCTGCCCTCTCCAGGCTGGTTATGCACAGCCTGCAGCACACATACACACACAGGACACCTGGGCTGGGAAAGGATGCAAGTCAACTTTAATGGAGGGACTCGACCCAGACCAGACAAACCTCAAGTGCTAGCCAGTAACTGGGAAGGTCAGCCAGCAATGGCCCCGGCTTCCTCTTAAATTCTCCTGGGGCAGATAATCTTATGGAATAATTGGGGCCAACAGCTTGGTGGTTTTCCCTACTCAACAAATCATAGCCTTTCTCTCATTCAACCAAAAAAACATGTATTGAATCTGACTCTGTGCCTGGCCCTTGTGTGAGGCACTGGGGTGACCATGGCAGGGACCCTGCCCTCAGGAAGCTTTGTACCAGGCATTGATTCTGTGTCATCATCATGAATGGCTTTACACAAATGGAATTCGGTTTTTAAGAAAGGCTGAAGAGAGAACCGAATTCCAACCCAAGCACCGCTTTTGGTGTCTGCATCCCGGGCTTGAAGAGCTTTAGTCTTGACCTTTTGCCTTATTGGGGATGGAGAAAGGAATAACAATAACCGTTGTTCTACAATGGCAGTTCTCAAACAGTGGTCCCTTTAGCTCTTCAAAATTATTGAGGGCCTCAAAGAACTTTTGTTTATGTAGGTTATAACATTTACCAGAAATTAAAACTGAGAATTTAAAAAGTATTTTTTATTTAAAGTATAATAAACCCATTGCATGTTAAGATAATAACATATTTTTATGAAAACAACTATTCTTTCCAAAGAAAAATAAATAATGAGAAGAGCTGCACTGTTTTACCTTTTTGCAACTCTCCCTAATGTCTGGCTTAACAGAGGACAGCTGGGTTCCCATGTTTGCTTTTGTTTTGTCTGTTGTGATATCACTTGCCATGTAGACTTTGAAAACTCCATTGTACATTCGTGAGAAAATGAGAGTGAAAAAGGCAGATAACATCTTAGTGCTATGTAAAAATAGTTTTGACCTGCGGGGCTGCCTTTGAGAACCTCTGCTCTGCAAAAAAATCAGTCACCCAAAGGCTCTCTTGGCCGATAAACTGCAGAATGGCCACTTGGTGGCAGCAGAGGTCAGCTAAACGCTCATCAGGCACTGCCTCTCGTCCCAGCTTCCTGGGGCAAGGCTTTCTGTCTATGGGGGCTTCTGTGGAAGCACCTTCATTCCATCTGATCCTGGCCACCTGGCCCATGCATGCCGTATCTGCCAACCCAAGGCCTCTCTGGCCTTACTGTGCTCCATGACACATCCATGACCCTCTCTCTCGTGTGAGGAAAGCCTTATCTTCTCCACTAGAACTACTTAGGGGCCTGCATAAGGCCCGACTTCCTGGGGCTCCTTATGCCACACCACGTATTGGGTGGCAGGAGGCATTTTCTTTTCAGACTGTCATCTCCCAGGAGATGCAGGACAGATGGATCAGGAGCCCTCCATTCTCAGGTCCTCAGCCCTCCCTCTGCCACCACCACATCAAGGCTCAGCTAGGGGCCAGCACTCACCAGTGTCTGTTATCATCCTCCAACTTCTCTTGCAGAGTCCAAAGAGTTGTTGCTTCCTAGCCCTAGAGCTAGGAGCTCTACCTTTGGAAATTCAAAAGCCAAGAATTAACCTCTATATTAATAAATAAAGGACAATCATCTCGATCGATGCTTTTGACTTTTTCTGCATCCAATACTTGTTCATCATAAAAGCACTCAACAAACTGAGACTAGAAGAGAACATCCTCAACCTGATAAAGGGCATCTATGAAAAGTCCACAGCCAACATCAAACTTATGGTGCAAGGCTAGATGCTGCCCAACTAAGATCGGGAAGAAGACAAGGATGTCTGCTCTTGCCACTTCTATCCAACATTGTACTGAAGGTTCTAGCCAGGGCAATTAGGCAAGAAAATGAAATATAAGGTATCCAAATTGGAAAAGAAGAACTAAACTGCCTCTATTTGCTGATGATATGATCTTGTATATAGAAAATCCTAAGGAATCCATTAAAAAACTATTAGAACCAATAAACAAGTTTAGCAAGGTTTCAGGATATAAGATCAACCTACAAAAACTAATTGTATTTCTATACCCTAGTGATGAACATTCCAAAAATGAAATTAAGAAAACAATTCCATTTATAATAGCATTTGAAAAATGAAATATTTAGGTGTATTTTAACAAAAGAAGTGCAAGACTTGTACACTGAAAACTACAAAAGCTTAAAAGATCTAAGTAAATGGAATGATATTCTATATCATAGATCAGAAGACTAAATGTTGTTAAGACAGCAATACTCCCCAAATTGATCTACAGATTTAATTCAATCCCTCTTAAAATCCCAGCTGGCTTTTTTTTTTTTCTTTTTGACATAAATTGACAAGCTAACCCTAAAATTCATATGGAAGTGCAAAGGATGCAGAATAGCCAACCTTGATCTGATAAAGAAGAATAAAGCTGAAGGACTCATACTTCCCTACTACAAGGCTGCAGTAATCAAGACACTGCGGTGCTGGCTTAAGAACAGACATGTAGATCAATGGGATAAAATCGAGAGTCCAGAAATAAACCTTTCCATTTATGGTCAGTTGATTTTCAACATGGGTGCCAAGACAATTCAATGGAGAAAGAATAGGCTTTTCAACAAATGGTGTTAGGAAAACAGGATATCCACATGCTAAAAGAATGAAATTGGAACCTTACCTCACACCGTATATGAAAATTAACTCAAGATGGATCATAGACCTAGATGTAAGAGGTAAAACTATAAAACTCATAAAAGAAAACATAG